AAGTGGAAGCCTGCTGTTGTGAAGGAGAGACCCATGGGTTTACATACTCTTCTGAACACTTTACTTTTTGAGAAGATTAAGATCATTTTTAAATCCCAGAATCATTACTCTTTTAGGAGATTTACTTAGGGGACTTTTTTTGGTCTTGGTTTTTGTTTTTGTCGATGTCTAAATGGGCAGGTTGATTTTTTCGTTCAGGCGCTCAGAGACAGTGACAGCTGATCCTTTGCTTTTATGCTTTCCTCCTTCCCCAGCTGCTCCTCGGTCGTGTCCTCTGATGACCCCTCTTCCTTTCCCTAGACACGCGCGTCTTCTAGCTCCCAGTTCACTTCTCTGTCTGCGCTCACTGCCCTAGCTCAGACCCAGAATAGAAGTACCATCTGTTTGCCAGAATGTTTATTTCCATCCAGTCCATCCTTCCAGACTACAGACTTGAATGCTGGACGCTCTTTCACACATAGAGAACAGACACATCAAACTTCACCCGTCTACAATTGAACAGAGGTTGTTCCTGACTTGTGAAACCCGTTACTTAAAGACTTTGTCTCAGGTGGTGGCAGCTCTGTTGCTCTGGCCAAAAGCTTGTAGAAATCATTAATTACCTCTCCTCTCATATCCTTCCTCCAGTCCATTAGAAAGTCCTCCTGACTATAGCCCATTGGTCGATCTCTTCCTGCGGCCTCGGCTGTCACCATCGCAGTAGAAGCCACCATCATTTCTTGCTGAGGTTACACAATAGCCTTTTGCCAGAGGAGCCTCTTTGCCCCTTTGTCCTCAGCTTCGCTGCCAATCCGATCCAAACACGTGGAAGGAAATTTAGATCATGGCACCTTTCTCCAAACCCTGCAGTGCTCCCTGTGTTTCTCAGGTTGCTTGGACCAGCCTGCTCCCACCCCAGGGCCTTTGCTTTGCCATCCACTGCCGACACTGCTCTGTCCTTCCTTACTCTCTGGGCCTGAGCCTCATCTCTTCAGGTCAGATCTCAGCTTCCCGGGGAGCTTCTCCAGACTGCCCTGTCTTCAAGGCAGCTGCCTCTTCTTTGGGTCCTTGACCATCTTCACCCTGCTCCACCTTTCCTGTTCCACACGCTTCTCTCTTTCTAACATACTATCTACCATCCTGTATGGTAGCCAGTAGCCACATATGGCCCTTTGTATTTTAATTAGCAAAAATTAAATAACATAAAAAATCTTGTTCATCATCAGTCACACTGACCACATTTTAAGTGCTCAAGAGTCACCTGAGGGGGCGCCACCTTTGGCTCAGGTCATGGTCTCAGGGTCTTGGGATCGAGCTCCGCATCGGGCTCTCTGCTCAGCGGGGAGCCTGCTTCCCCCACCTCTCTGCCTGACTCTCTGACTACTTGTGATCTCTCTCCCTGTCAAATAAATAAATAAAATCTTAAAAAAAATAAGAGGCACGTGTGGCTGGCGGCTGCTGTGTTAGATTGTACAGAGAACATTTACAGCATCTCAGAACATATTACTGGACTACAGTGGTGTAGAATTTACAGATTTATTATGTTTGATGTTTACTTTCTTTCTCTCATAAGAATATAAACTTCATAAAGACAGAGGTTTTTTCTCTAAATAGAGAAATTACTTATAAAATAATTGACTGTAGAAAAGTTACCTAGAACACTAGTTGACCCATAGTAGGTGATCAATAAATGTATGTTGAGTTGAGTGGAATTACCATTTCATTTGAAATAAAGGATTGAATTTGTTTCATTCACCAAGTAATTATTAAAATAAAAATATTTTAATAATTTTGTTAAATGTAGCTGCCATTTTTGGAATGCTTATGTGCTGGGCCTGGTGCTGCCCTCGGGATTTATTTCATTGACTTCTTATAGAAGTTGGGTATGGGGGTGCCCGGGTGGTTGAGTTGGTTGGCGTCCAGCTCTTGATTTAGCTGAGGTCATGATCTCAGTGTATGAGATTGAGCCCTCTGTCGGGCTCTCCATTCAGTATGGGGTCTGCTTGAGATTCTCTCTCTCCCTCTTCCTTTGCCCTCCCCTTGCTTGTGTACTCTCCCTTTCTCTAAATAAACATGCATCTATTTTTAAAAAGGGGTGTGTGTGTGTGTGCAAAATTCCCAACTGCAGGTCAGGGAATGGGCATAGGGAGGTTGAATGGCTTGACCCAGGAACACAAAGCAGCGGAGTGGTGCGGCCAGAATTGAGACCTGCTGCACAGGATTCCCACGCTGAGGGCTTAGCCAGTGCTCCGTTATCCAGTTCCTGCGTTCAGGTCAGTTTTGCAGTTCAGGTTAAGACTGTCTTTCTACTTTCTGCTCATTGGGGGAATTAAAGTTAATGATGCTTTTTATAAAAAGGAAATGTTATGCTTATGGTTGAGTTGTTTTGGCAACGTACAGGGAGTTAAGGATCAGGTTTTTAAAAAAACTTGATTCTTAAGATCTTAGATTTCAGTTATCTAAAAAAATTATTCATTTAAAAATACTGATGTGAAATACGTTCTCAGCAGATGTCAGCTGCCTAATTTAGGTTACTCTGATTTTAGCCTGTGTTGTGCTAGCTTGATCTCTCGGGGATTTAGTTGCAGTTGCTTATTTCCACATAGAGAGAGAGTGAGAGTGTGTGTGTGTGTGTGTGTGTGTGTGTGTGTGTGTGTATAAAAGAAAATCACTTCCTGGAAACTAAGGTACAAATGAGTGGTGAAATCTGAATTTATTTTCTCTAGGTTTGTTGTTGTTAAGGTGATGTTGACTGGGATTCAGTCATTGTAAGAAACCAGGATAACGGCTGGAATAAATTTTTAGTGAATGTTTCTGGTGTCCCAGGCACTCTGCTAAAGCCTTTGACAAGCATTATCTCAATTAATGGCAACAAAAGTTCTTGGAGGTAGGGACTTGTTACAGTTCAGGCAATTATGTTTCCAAGGTAGTTGGTAAGTGACTGAGAGGGACTATGAAGATGGTTCCCCCCACCCTCAGTCTCCCCAAAGAATCTCTGTCCTTCAGAGACTATGTGCTTTGGAAAAAACCTGGAGTTAATTGATAATATCTGAAGTAAAGGTGATACATCTTTATTTCCTTTTTTATACTCTAAGTCTTCCAGATTCTCTCTTAGATTGAGGGACTGTCATGAGTGCCTTCTGCATTTGAATGGAGAACAGTTCTTCTCAACCCATTGTGTACACAGGGATCGGATGGGGAGTGTTTTTAAAAAATGCCCGAGTCCCATCCCCAGAGGTTTTGATTTAATTGGTTCGGGATACCACCTGGACATTGGGATTTTTTTTTTTTAATTTTAAAGATTTTATTTATTTATTTGACAGAGATCACAAGTAGGCAGAGAGGCAGGCAGAGAGAGAGAGAGAGGAGGAAGCAGGCTCCCCGCTGAGCAGAGAGCCCGATGCGGGGCTCGATCCCAGGACCCTGAGATCATGACCTGAGCCGAAGGCAGAGGCTTTAACCCACTGAGCCACCCAGGCGCCCCGACATTGGGATTTTTAAAAGTGCTTTGGGTAGGTAGTTCCAGTGTCCGGTGAGGGCTGAGGACCTGTGGTGTGTGCCAGCGGTCCCCAAGCTTTGCACTGTGGAGTCACCTGGGGAGCTTCCAAAGCCACTGTAGCCCACGCTTCTCCCCCAGGATTGGGATTTAATTGGTCTGTGCTGGCGTCTGGAGTTTGGAAGTGCTAAGATTTCCCAGGTGAGTCCAGTGTGTAAGCCGATGTGGGGCCTTCTGGCTTATGCCGTGGTTTTGGACTTTGGCTGCACATTAGTATCACTTGAAGAATTTTAAAAACTCCCATAATCCCATAAAAACTCCCATAACCCACCCCGATTAAATACAGTCTTTGGCAGTGGACCTAGTTTTTGACACTCCTGGTGATTCCGGTGTGCAGCCAAAGGGAAGTTCAGGATTCTTCATTTTCTCTCCTGTGTACTTTTGGACCAACTCCATTTAGTTTCACAATTCAGAATACTTGTGAGTAAAGGGAGAAATGATGGGTCTAGAAGATGCTTTTCCTTATACTGAGTTCAGCTTCCTCCCCTCATATTTTTATTGTCGTAAAATATACAAAACACAATGTTTACCAGTGCGGTCATTGTAAAGTGTACGGTTCAGTGTCATTAGGTATTTTCTTGATATTGTGCAGCTGTGACCACTGTCAATTTTCAGAACTTTGTCATCATCCAGAACAGAAGTTCTGTACCCAAGAAAAAATAACCACTCGTTTCTCCTTCTTCCCAGCCTCTGGTAACCTTCCACTTTCTGTCTGTCTGAATTAGCCTATTCTAGGGACCTCAGATTAGTGGAATCATAAGTTCGTCCCTATGTGTTGACTCTTTTCACTTAGCACAGACTCGTCTGTGTTGTCACCTGTCAGCATCACGTTCCTTTTGCAAGGCTGAATAATATTTCATTGCACGTTTACACTAAGTTTTGTTTATCCACTTAACTATTGATAAACATTTGAGCTCATTTTCTTAAACCAACATGAAAGAACACAGAGCTAAGCAGATTACGGAAAGTGATGTGTTCCGCATTCCAGATCGTTAGCTAACAGAGTTCGCTTTGTCAACTCGTTTTCCTGTAGTTCAGTGGGGGTTGAACTGAGGGGATATTCCTGATCTTTCTGATTTACTAATTCTAGCCCTTTCCCCTCGCCCTTGTTTTGTATTATTTGGATGGTTTAAAAAATGAATTTGCCTTCTGTAACCAAAGAACCATTAAGAAAAATTAAGAATCTTTGGGGCGCCTGGGTGGCTCAGTGGGTGAAGCCTCTGCCTTCGGCTCAGGTCATGATCTCAGGGTCCTGGGATCGAGCCCCACATGGGCTCTCTGCTCAGCAGGGAGCCTGCTTCCCCCTCTCTCTCCACCTGCCTCTTTGCCTACTTGTGATCTCTCTCTGTCAAATAAATAAATAAAATCTTAAAAAAAAAATTAAAAATCTTTCATTAAGAAAAGTGAAAGTGATATTCTTTCCCCATGTTTTCTAGAGCTTGTTCTTTTTCACTGTGTTCTCCAGGAGTACCGGGTGTCAAAGAAGAACGTTTTGAAGAAGGAATGATGGTAAAGCACTGTGCGTTGTCCCTAGTGGGAGAACCCATCATGTACCCGGAAATCAACAGGTTTTTGACACTACTCCACGAGTGTAAAATCTCTAGTTTCCTGGTCACAAATGCACAATTCCCTGTGGAAATCAGGTGAGCCATCCAGCTTATTAAGATACTCTGCTAGGATCTGTGTTTGGCAGAAAGGCCTTAATGTATTCATAAAGGGCTTATTGATTACTAATTACATATACATGTTGGTTTTTTAGAGGTGAGAGATGGGCCTACTCTTAAAAATTCACTCTATTAAGGAAGATAACATTAGTAAGAAGAATAGAGGCACAAATTAATTGTTGGGCAAATTCAAAAGAGAATGCAGTGTTTTTTCCAGAAGGGTGAAACTTCTCAGAGAAGCCACTGTTTAATTGGAATCTTAAAGGTAGGAAGCTGTAGTTTTTAATAAGAACCTCCTGAGAGAGGTAGGAAGTTAGGGTGTTTGTGATACCATTATGTAAATATAGTTCATCTGGACCACAGAGTGTGCGAAAGAGGCTGGCAGCTGGAAGCCAAGTTGAAAAGGTAGGGGGTAGATTGGAGAGGACTTCAAGCGCTGTTCTTTGGAAAAATCTTGCTTCCTGCAGAGCAGTTTGCTAGCATGGTATAAAACGGGAGAGCCAGAACGCAGGCAACCAGACAGGAGAGTGTTTGTTTAGTTAAGAGTCATGAAGATGAAAGTAAGACAGTGAGAATGAGGAACCCTACAAAAGACATCATGGAGATGTAGAGATCAGCTTGGCAGACTGCATGGCTCTGAGAGCTCCACGTGTAAGAGGACCAGTTAATGACTGGAGGGGTTCCAGCCATGTTGACTGCTAGGGTTATGGGGCCCTGGAGCAGTAGAGGATCTAATAAAGAACAGGTTTAACACGTAAGATGTTGAGTTGGTTTGGGTGACTTAGAGGGAAAGCTTTCCAGATGCAGATGACCATCTTCTCTGGCCTGGAAATGACTTGTTTTTTTTTTTCGTTATACTTGAACTGTGCACGTATTATAACACCAAAAAAACATTAAATTTTACTTATTTTCCTGTGCTTTCCCCATAAGACTGAGTTGCTTGAGACCGGTGACCCCTGCTTATTTATCTTCACGTCACTAGTGTAGTGCCTATGAGTTCTTGGGAGATGGCTAGTGAAGTGTTGGGGAAATTTCCACAGAGGAATAAAAGACAGTGATCTTTTAAAATTCAGAGTTGTTTTGTAAATACTGACCAATAAAGTATAACAGGAAAAAAAGGAGAAAATAATTTTCAAATTTAAGAAAGACCGTATAGGAGTGATTGATGTCAGAGTCATGGAGGCCTGCCTCATTCCCTTTTTCTCTTGCCTTCCATTTACAACTAATCAGATAGATACCCATAACCAAACAAAAAAAAAGCACCTCTGTACAGCACACCAGGACACCCAAGAGAGGCATTCGTGTGTGCACCCAAAAGTGAGTGGATTGGGCAATGGAGTGAGGGGAGGCAGCAGAGGCTGCAGGGACAGGTCTGGTAGGGAGCCAGCACCACCCTTATGGCAGAGGAGGTAGAGGCTGAAAGCAGTTGCTACAGAGCTCTCTCTGCGAAACCACAGTGACTTGAGGGGTAGGAGGTGGGGAAGTGAAAGGGAAGGGAGGAAGGCAGACACCGAACTGAAGGAAAGTATGTTTCCTGCTGTCTGCCCCAGGGGATTTAGGTGAAAGTGCCCATGGAGCTCTGGGAACCCCTACTTGAGGATCATGGGGCACACCGAAAGCCCTAGGTGCTAAGCACACCCCACCTTCCACTGTGCTGCCACCCCCCCCCCCCCGCTTTTATTTTAAATGCGCAGCTCTCCCAGCCTTAGTGGGGAGTCAGTGCTGGTAAGAGAAACCAAAGACTTGTGCTGCAGCACCACCTTCTGGAAGAGAAGAGGAAGGCTTCCCATCACCAACCTGTTAAAACTATTAGAATCAAACTAAACAAGGCTTTTACATAAATAAGAAAGGTGTCTGCTGCTTTAGATGTGGTGGCAGAGGCACTTTTCATGAAACACTATGAAAAATCATGGTAATATGGTATCACAAAAGGAAAAGGACAATTTTCTAGTAACAGATCCACAAAACACGGACTATTGCAATCTGATACATAATTCAAAACTAGCTATTATGTTGGACTTCAACAAACTACAAGAAAACTTATGAAGGCAATACTGTGACCTCAGGAATAAAATTAGTGAATAGAAGAAATACTTTACCAAAGACATTGAAATTCTAATGAAGAACCAAACAGAAATTCTGGAGCTAGAAAACTCAAAAAATGAAAGGAAGAATGTATTTTGAAAGCATTGGAAATAGAGCAGATCAGATGGAAGAGAGAATTCATGAGCTGGAAGATAGGGATCTAGAAATGATTCAGGTGGAAGAGGAGAGAGAACTAAGATTTTAAGAAAGTAAAGAAACCCTGTGAGAGCTATCAGACTCCATTTGGAGAGTTATGATTAGATGAATGGGAATTTCCAGAGGGATAAGAGAGAGAGAAAGGAGCAGAGAGCATATTTAAGGAAATAAGAGCTGAGAACTTCTCAAACTGGGGAGGGAACTGGACGGACAAGTCCACAAAGCTAATAAAACACTTATCTCAATGTGAAAAGACCTTCTTTAAGACACATTATATTGAAACTGTCAAAAGTCAATGGTAAAGAATTTAAAAGGCAACCTGGGGGAAAAAGACAATAACTTACAAAGGAACCTGCATTAGGCTTTCAGCAGATTTCTCTGCAGAAACTCTACAGCCTTGTGAAGAGTGGAATGATTTTTTTCAAAATAGTGAAAGATAAAACCTGCCTCCCAAGAATATCTGGCAAAGTTATCCTTCAGATATGAAGTAAAGATAAAGGCTTTCCCAGACAAACCACAACTGAGGGGAGTTCACCACCAATAGACCTGCCTTACAAGATACGTTGCAGGGAGCTCTTTAAGCTGAAATGGGAAGATGAAAATACACAAAATGCTAATTAAGGTGGTAAATGGACAATTAGAAGACTGTAACTTTTTTACAATAGTATATTAAACCCTTAATTATAGCATAAAGTTTAAAGGAAAAGTATTAAAAATAATTGTACCTGCTACCACTTGGTAACAAAATCACAGCATGAAAAGGTAATATGTCACATCAAAAATACTGAAGAATAACAGTCATCATATGGTTTCACTCATATGTGGAATGTAACAGTGCAGAGCTATAGGGGAAGGGAGGGAAAACCCATGAGAGATGCTGAACTCCAGGACCCAAACTTTGGGCTACAGAAGGGCGGGCGTGGGGGGATGGGTAACCGGGTGTTGGGTATTAAGGAGGGCACGTGTTGTGATGAGCACTGGGTACGCAACTAATGAACTGTTGAACACTACCTCAGAAACAAACGGTGTGCTATATGTTGACTAACTGAACATAATAGTTAAAATAAATACTGGAGCATCAAAAGGGTGGAATTATAGGCAAATCAAGATAAATGGCTATCTGCAGAAAAAAATGGCTATTTCATCTAGAGGTGTTTTTTGTAATCCTCATGGTAACCACTAGGCAAAAAATGTAGAGCATAGACAGGAAACATGAAGAGGGGAGACTGAGCAAATCATGGAAACCACCAACTTACAAAGGTAGAAACAGAAAAAAAGAAACAGTGGGAAAGCAAAAGATAAAATGGCGCTAGTAAGTCATTACGTATCAATAACTGCCCAAAATTGAACCCAGCAATCAAGGGCTCAGAGTGGCCGAATGGATTTCAAACAACAGCAACATAAACCACACAGGACTCCGCTCTATGCTGCCTATAGGAGACTCTTCTCCAGCTCTGAGGACACCAGCAGGCACAAAGTAAAAGGGTGGAAGGTGACCATCCAGGCGGTGGGAATCAAAAGAAGGTAGGGGGCGCCTGGGTGGCTCAGTGGGTTAAGCCGCTGCCTTCGGCTCAGGTCATGATCTCAGGGTCCTGGGATCGAGTCCCACATCGGGCTCTCTGCTCGGCAGGGAGCCTGCTTCCTCCTCTCTCTCTCTGTCTGCCTCTCCATCTACTTGTGATCTGTGTCTGTCAAATAAATAAATAAAAAAATCTTAAAAAAAAAAAAAATATTTAAAAAGAAAAAGAAGGTAGGTGGGGCATCCCTCTCTCCAAGTCGAAAAGGGTCACGGGGACAAGGAAGGTCATCACACAATGGTAAGTGAATCTGCACGTCAAGAAGATAGAACACTTGTGTGTACAGTTCCAGTGCCCAAGCACTGAGTACATTAGACAAATACTAAGAGATCTTGAGGTACAACTCAATAATGCAATGACAATAAAGGACCCAGATACCCTGATCTCAGCAGTGGATGGATCAGGAAGTTGATAAGGAAACCCCGGAATTGAACCACACTTCAGAGCAAACAGACTTCACGGACATATGTGGAACATTCCAAAGGAAGTCAAGAACTTGGTTGGTTTAGCAACAAAAAACAACCTGATCAGAAAATGAGCAGAAGAACTAAATAGGCATTTTTGCAAAGAGGACATCAAAATGGTCAACAGGTGCATGAAAAATTCACAACATCACACATTGTCAGGGTGATGCAAATCGAAAGCACAGTGAGGTACCACCTCACACTTGTTAAAATGACCATCACCGAGAAGACGAGACAACAGGTGCTGGCGAGGATGTGGTGACAAGGGAACCTTTATACTTTGTTGGTGGGAATGTGAGTTGGTGCAGCCACCATGGAAAAGAATGTGGAGGAATATGGAGGTTTCTCAAAAAATTAAAAATAGATCTACCATATGATCCAGCAACTCCACTTCTGGATATATACCCAAAGGAAATGAAAACAGGATTTTGATGAGATAAGTATTTCCATGTTTATTGCAGCATCATTCACAATAGCCAAGCTATGGAGACACCCCAACTGCCCATCAACAGATGAACGGATAAAAACCGTGTGGTACATACACACCACGAAATATTATTGACCGATAAGAAAGGAGGATATCCTGCCATTTGCAACAACTTGGATGGACCTCAAGCACGTTATGGTATGCAAGTGAGAGAAAGACAAGTACTGTATGATACCATTTATGTGCGGAATCTCAAAAAGTTAAAAAAAA